ACCTTGAATTTTTTCATAATTGTGAGCCCATTGTTCATATTTAAATTTATTTGAACAAAAAATATATATTGATAAAATTTGTTTCAAGTCACTGATAAGTGGAATAATATTTTCGCCAAATGAACCAGATATAATTAAGAATACTCTTTCATTTGAAATTGATGTAATATAATCAATACATTCGTCAGGATCAATAAATGTTTTTAAATAATTTATAACATAACGCAAACGAGTTTTAGTATCTAAACAATCATTTGTTTTATTTATATTTTCATCAAGCCATATAACTGTTAAATCTTCTAAATTTTCATCATTAATATTTATTGAAGAATCAGTCATTGTAAACATTAGTGTATTTAAAAATATGATGGATTTTCGATTAACTTATAACTAAATAATTCATTTTCGTTTTATAAAAAAAAACAAAAGTAAGGTCTTTTATCCTTTCTCTTCTCAATTTCCTTCAATAAATAAACTTTTTAATATCCACCTTTTTGATGCACTACTACAAAAATATTTTTTAAAGTGCTTTTGTCTTTCTGTTTATTGCCGAACGGTCGACGCCAGTAAGTTATATATATTCAAAATACTACGGTATGAGTGTTATCACTCTTTTTCTAACATTTTAGTTGACATTACAAGAAAAAAGATAAAATCTCAGCAATAGAAGAAACCTTAGTCCGTCAGTCTTCAGAATAATAAAGGAAAGAAGCGTGCAGATGACTTGTGAAAAGAAGAAAAAACTATGATAACTACATTTTGCATGACAAACAAAATCAAATAATACGTACAGAAGAAAGACGTATATAAAGGTCATTCTGTACTATAGTAACGAAAGAAAGATCCTAAAAAAAGGAATAGAAAAACAAAGACACTGTATGATCTCGATTATATAGAAAAGAATCTCATGTTAATCTCCAAATGTCTACCTTTTTATTAAGTTATATTATTGTTAAAAAACTCCTCTAAAATATTCAGAAAAGAACTTCTTATCTATTACGAATATAATTTTTTATAGCTTCGCGTGTATAATATACCAGACACATTGATGTTCTCTATAACAGACTTCGATGCAGTTTTTCTAACTAGATACTAAAACTCGTTTGCGTTATGTTATAAATTATTTAAAAACATTTATTAATCCTGACGAATGTATTGATTATATTACATCAATTTCAAATGAAAGAGTATTCTTAATTATATCTGGTTCATTTGGCGAAGATATTCATCGATTAGACGTCAATCCAATTCTGTCGTTTACCAGATCTCTTGTGACTGCAAAAGTGTGTACAACGGTGAGACGAAAATAGGCCTTTGGAACAGAATGAAGCAACATGAAAAGGAAATTTT